TATATCACAAGTATCTTCTAGCTTTTTATAAACTCATATTTTCATGTTGTTATAAGTGCCTTGAAAATGTGAGTTTTTAATTATAATATATGCTTCATACTCCTTTTTTTAAACTTCCATTTTTGACATGCTAAAATATAACCATGGTAAGAGACTACCAAATACTCTAATTTAAATAATTTTCATTTCAGTCTAATTTTCCTTAATAGTAACTGTGTTTCCTCATTACAAATTTAGCTTTTAAAAGTTTGCATTTTTTTTATGTCCTTATACAATTTGTTGTAGGTATTTTTTCTTCCTTGAGGTATCTTTTTCATGGTTTGCCTGAAAACCTGAGTAGACTTTCCTGAGCTCAGTGGGAAAACCTTAATGGCCCTTGACTGAACACAAAATCTTCAGAGTAGGGCTTCTAACTCTGTGCCTGAGACTGATAACAGCTCATTTCTTCTGCACATACTTCATTATGTTCAAATCAGAGAGCTACTGTGTGACTTCCACAGGCCATAAACACAAGGGGACCTGCTCTTTCCGAGGGCTACAGCCACTGGGCCATGCTTCCGTCACCTGGGTTTGGTTCAGGGAAGAGAACGGACACTGTGTCTATGACAGTCTTTCTTACACGAGCAGCTTCTTTCAACCCCGGTAATTCTTTGAACGTGAGGGACAATGCTTCCCTCCCCTCCCATGCTCCTGGGACTGCACAGTTCAGATCACTGTTCATCATAATTGAAGCCAAGTTTCTAGTGTGGCAGCTTGGTAGCTCACAGCACCCTTTCTGAAAGGCTGTGTTTCCCCAGGATGACTGTGCTAGGAGGAGGCTCTAGTTCCCAAGCACTTTTAACCTATATGGTCTGGGCTGAACCTGTACACCCTGTCAGTTTTTTTGCTCTAGACTGGCTTGTGGTTAGGACTAGATCTGTCTTCCTTAACCACAGTGTCAAGATCAGAATGAACCTGTCATCAACCATAGCCTTGAATTTAAAGGTAAGTTTAACAATCATCATCTCTTTCATTCTCTAAGGCTGCTGGGGCGATGAAGAAACTGTTCCCAATTAATCTGCACTAATATTCAAGGGGAGAATATGAACAGCTTATCTCTTAAAAAATCAAAATTTAATCTCAAAGGTCTTCCTGACACAAAGTAATGGGAAATTGTCATAGGAAAGAGTCAGCTCCGATTCTGTGACAGTAACACTTGTCACTCAGAAGAATTTTCTGAGCATAATGAATGTGTCGGAAAGATAAAGCCAACAGGTAATCCTAATTCATTTCCTCCGCAGCACCTCGTCAGGTATTTAAGTAGAGACCTCAGGATTTTCATGTGTGTGGAGGGATACAGTTGAGTTCAGTCACATAGAAAGGTTAGGCATTCACTGCACAGACACTCAGTGTTTGTAAAGTTCCGGAATTCATTATGTTTGATCCAGCATGGCAACTAAATTGATAGAAAATTAATTGGAAGATAGTTTCCAACAAAATAGCTCAGCAGAAACATCCAGAATCAATTAATCAAACTGCAACTCATTTTAATTGGACATACTCTAACCCTGGAAAGGCACTGCAATCTTTAATTAAGCTTTCAAGTACTCCCCTATTTACATGAGACGTGTTTCTCAGAAGAATTCTGTCCAAACTAAAGTGACTGACTGGAAACCCAATGGTATAGTTTCAAATCCTCCAACATGCACAATACGACTATGTCTAATTAGATATTATGTTTTCAATAAAGGTGGCATTAAAACAATTTTATTAGGTAAACATTAAACTCTTTGAAAGTATGCAATAAAGAAGTTCTCGTTTCGAAGTTAGATGTTCACCGCTATGACATATTTAAGATTGTATTTCGCAAACACACACATATATTAATCAGTTTTCTGTTAGCTTCTCTACCCTCTAGCATTCTTCTAGTATTCATTTCTATATCTCTACATTGGGTAGTGACCATGAACATCATTCTCTGAATTTATCAGCAAAGTATTAGCTCTTTTAGAGCATGGCAAAGTACACGTAATTTTCATATTTCCAGTGTCAGATACCGGACCCCACCAAGCACTACTCAACAGAACAGAGAACTTAAATACAGTTAAAACCAAAGATGGCTTGAGTCATGAAAGAAAATGGAAGTGTTTTCCTCTTTGATCAAATTTTGAAGTGGGGAGAAGGGAGGCTGCCTTGGGATGGTGACCACCCGTGTTTCAAATTAAACATTTATTGTTATTTCCTCTTTGTATGAATGGACTCCTCTTTGCTTCTAACTTCTCACATGCAAAACAAGCAAAAAAATGAATTGCGATAAATAAAAATGGACTATAGTTGTTGAACCTAGAGTTCCCTAGTTATGACTTATGCTATTAAAGCTGAACAAATCCCTGGATTATAGTAATGTCATATTTCAGGGCGGCAGACACATAACAAAATAAGTTACGATTACTGTATGCTATGAAATAGATATGACATGGTTTCATGTAATGAAACATGAAACAATTGAAGCTGTAGCTCTAGTGTCTCCAAAAGGTTTCCCCATGCCACGGGAACCATAGATGGTAGGTTGCCCTCTCGTGAGAAGAAAACTATATACTAGGAAGGATGCCAGAAGAATTGTGGACAGAGATTGAGTCTCAGGTGCGCAGTGAGTTAAGTTAGTAGATAGGATGTCAACCAGGTCTGAAGCCAAGGTGAATAGCAACTTGACATGGAAAGAAGAGAAATATCCTGATAACATAGGTAGAAGAGAGACACTGACATGACAGAAGATTGTTCAAATGTAGGAGGAACTAAATACAAAGATTGCTAGCTGTTCTATAATTGTGGATAAAATCAACTTCATTGCCATGCCCAAAATGTATGACAGGGTGTCTCTAGTTTTTTTTTAAATAGCATAATAATAACAGTTAATCTAGCTCAACAATTAAATATATTTATATTAAAGAGAAAAGAGAGAGAGACCTAGAGAGAAAGAGATATCACAAAATGGCTTTCTCTCTTCTCTTATTCTATGTCATGTACTCTATCTATCTATGGCATAGTGACACATACATTCTTCTGCCTTGGTTCCTACATTTTGGAAACATTCCCTCAAACACACCCTGAGGTAGTCTGTGTGTCTCAATCCAATGGACTTGATAATATAGAAAACTAAAGGTTGTAAGGTGTTAGACTCTTTATCACACCATACTCCCTCTGAATTTACAGAGGAAAAATGTGGCTCGCACCCTATGAAGCCCTTTGTATCCTTCCCTGAAGAAGCATACATGATGTAAAATGCAGTTCTCTGAATGTATATATTTTGGATAGAGGCCGTCACATCTATGTGTTTTAGTTTTCAGTAGGGTTAATGCTGTCGAGGCTAAAATTCCTTATCAACTCACTCTTCACAATCTCTCAGCCCAGGAATTATGAATTTATTTCAGAAATGGTTCATTGATTTTGGCACTCATTCTCTATCTCAGCGACCCAAACATCCCTATGGGAAAATTCTGATTCTCCTCAACTCTGGAGGAGTACCCATCCCCCATGCTGACATTATGTGATTGAGTGAGTGAATGGATGGGTGGATGGTACTGGTTATTGCATAGTTGTGATGTGGCGAGCATTTCTCTATGTGCTGTACAGCAGTGACTGGAGTAGCCTCTGTCTGATATGTATTCAGATAAAAGGATGCACTCAGAGTAAATTGGTACAAAGTAAAGCCCCATAGATAATAAAGATCTAGATAGTAGGGATTTTGCATCTTTATAAATAAAATCGCTCTAAATAATGTTGAAACTCTGAGAAAAGTGAGTGTCTAATCAATCACGGATTTAGAGTTAGCTATGCAGCTTAGAGGAGGATATTACAGACTTGCTCTTTACTGGCTCTGAGAATCTTTCATCTCCCTTTTCTGTGATATTACCTGAGTCTTGAGTTGTGTTTCAGATTCATTGATTGGGGCTAGGCTCCACACAATCTAATTATCTCTGCATTATGACCTACTGTGGTTTTCTGTGATGGTCTCCATTTGGTATAGAGAAGCTTTTTTTGATGTGGGGTGAAAGGTACACTTTTCTGTGGGTGCAAATTTAAGTTTTAGAATGCATTTAAGAATTAAGAATTATGGTGTTGTAATAAAGTGATGGTAATATGTTCTCTGTTAACATCCATAACCTTATCAGCCCCAGGCTGTTTGCTAGAGAGCTTTGGTTACCGCCAAGATGGGTACCAATTATTGCTGCACGATTTCTTTATTGATGTCTTTTCCCAGTTCTTTCCAAAGTATACAACAATGAATATTAGATTAACTTTTAGGAAAATGGAAAATGTACTAAAAAGTACAAGGCACTACTCAATAATCATATTTTGTGGATAATAAATGAAAACTCATCCCTGTTGTTGCATTACTAAAGATTTCTTAAGAATGGTTATCAAATTAAAACTGTTAGATCAATTAAAAATCAACAATTTTAATCTATTTATATTTACCTACATATGTATATATGTATGTATATATTTGTGTGTATGGAGATATACATATGTGCATTATATGTTTGTATTTGTATGTATGAATAAAATTACAAAAAGGAAATAACAACCCACTCAAACATAAAACAAAATTATACAACAATAACAGTACATGTTATTTGGAATGAAGATGAAACATGGTTTTAATTTTGTTTTTTGAAATAAAGAGCTGAGGAAAGACAGCTTCCCCAACCTAAAGCTTGCTCAATCATTTTTGTCAGAAAAATAAGTATGTAGGGTTAGGCGTAGCTCAGGGACAGAGAACTTCTCTGGCATTCATAAGGACCCAGGTTTGAACCCCATCAGAAAAGAGAGAAAAAGAAAGAAATCACAAGAAAACTTTTGGTGTATCTTTCTGAGAGCTAATGCTCACCGACAGCTGTGTTTCATGACTTTCAGTTGATCCTCTTCTCAGGCTCTTCAGTTCTCTAATACCAGGTCACAGGTTTTTCTCTTCCTCCTTGTATCTTGGCTTTGTTTGGTCTTCAAGTCCTGAATAAAACATGGAGGAATGTTCTTGCATCTGTAGTATTTTCTTTGTAGGTGGGACCGCCACCCGGCAAAGGGGCTTCCTAGGATGCATCAGGTCTCTGCAGTTGAATGGGATGACCCTGGATCTGGAAGATAGAGCCACAGTGACCCCTGGGGTGCAGCCAGGTTGCAGAGGACACTGTGGTAGCTATGGAAAGTTATGCCGCCATGGAGGGAAATGCAGGGAAAAGCCCAGTGGCTTCTTCTGTGACTGCTCTTCCTCTGCCTATGCAGGACCGTTCTGCTCCAATGGTAGGTGTGACCTGGGCCTGTGTTCCTGTGAATAAGACACCTGGGAGACTGTTTGTGTGTGTGTGTGTGTGTTTGAAACAAAGGTATCTACTTTTAAAATATTCTTTTAAAAAGTGGTTATTGTACGCCAATCATATTTAAGTCCTTGGACCTTTGACTCAGTTCTGGAAAAATGCTATCTATTGCTAAATAGTCACAAATAGTAGCCTTTAAGTGTCTTCAATGTTAGCCATCCACCTACTTTTACCCTGTCTGCTAGTAATGTGTTTAAAGAGTAGGACTGTCAACAACCTGTCCTATAATGCAGTCCTTGGTTTAAAAAGTCATTCCAAGGCCTATAGTTATTTTTGGTGAGAATATTCAGCAATGCAAAGAACTACAGAAAATGCGTGTATTTATTCTATTAATGTCAAACAAATATTTTCCACTAAATACTGATTGTAAGAAAATAGTGATTTTTGACATTTGCTATGCAGTAATATGAATATGCACTAGAGAATTAAAACAGCAGAGCATTCATTCACCAGTCCATTCCACAGAAAAGGAATGGCGCAGAGCAGAGTGGTAACGGCTTCGGATCGCCTTCTCTGCATGCGCAGACACGCATTATACTTCTGTAGATGTTCATAGAAGAAAACCAGCGTCCAAGTAATTTAAATTCACTGACTTTGTTGAAGTGTCTCCGAGCTTCTTAGTCTCCTCTTGGAGGAAGCTGAAAGAAATTGGCTCCAAATCAAAGCAACTTTGCAAAGAAAGCGCTGGAGGTTAGCTAATGAAAACCTGGCGAAACCTGTGCTTTTCGGGTCACCCCCCCCTTTTTTTTTTATCAAGAATAAGCTGTGATTTCAAAATCAATCGGTGATAATAACCACACACTAGTGGCAACATTCAGGGTGACATTTTGGTCTACAGTGTGAATGAAAACCCTTCTTCTTCAGGACGAATTTCCTTCATTTTCTAACTGAAGTTTCCAGGTGTTTGTTTTTTTTTTTTTTAATGTAATCAGGAATGTTATGCTACATTTACATATTATACTGTGTATGAGTTGTATTATAAATAATAGGACTACGTTAAAAATCCTTGAAGTGACATGGATCCCACAATGTTGTTGTTCTTTTTTTTAACTGAGTAAGCAGCATGTATTAGACATGTCACAACCAGATGCTTAGAGTAAAAAACAAACAAACAAAAAAAAAAAAAACAATGTTCAAGAATTCAAAACTAATTTCTCTACTGGCCTCTTTAATACACATATATTTACCCGTATATGTGTGTAGGTTTGATATATTAATCTCCTAGCAACGAAAAACTACATCTGTTAAAGTATTGCAGACGGGCTCCACAATTCCTTTGGTTGATCCCCGCTATGCACATGTCCTTCTCACCTTCATGCTAGACTTGGCATTCTTTATGTAGTTCACAACAAATATGAAAGAGAATTAATATGAGATAAAGGTTTTTCTTCACACTGGTACTGAAATGGGGGGAAAAACTCCACTCATTTTTTTTTCCTATTGCATGCTTCCCAGCTACAAAATTATAGATGGGAGTTACAATTTAAATCAGAAAGTAGATGTTTAGTGGGGCAGAAGACTGGAAGCTTGGTGTGTGTATGAACTCAGATAAGGCAACACTAATGAATTAATTATGTCATTCTAACATAAAGACGACCTCTAATAATGCACTGTGTTAAATTAGCCTGGGCTTCTAGCTGTGCACTTTATTCCGTAGCATTGAGACATCAATTAATGTAACTTAAACATAATCCTTGTACTTAAAACATTTTTAACTAATAATCTGCATATTATTTCAGAGATTTCTGCATATTTCGGATCTGGGTCTTCTGTGATCTACAATTTTCAAGAAAATTATTCTTTAAATAAAAACTCCAGCTTCCATGCTGCTTCATTTCATGGAGATATGAAGCTGAGCAGAGAAATGATCAAATTTAGCTTCCGAACGACACGGGCACCAAGCTTGCTACTTTATATGAGCTCCTTTTATAAAGAATACCTGTCGGTTATCATTGCCAGAAATGGTGAGTGTGTTTTAGACGAGAGAGAAGACTGAGTTAGGGCACTGGGACAGTAGAATGCAGCTCCTTTGGGGATGTTTGCTTCTAAAGTAGAATGAGGGAGAAAAACAAAAAACAGTATATCTAAATTTTATCCTTTTCTTAATTTTGATTATGATCTTACAGATTAATCTAAAAGAATAATTGAAGTATTTAAGATGGTATTATGAATATTTTATATAATTTTTTAAATTTTTCTTTTTTTGACGATTTCATTTCTTTATTACATATACAGTGTTCTGCCTGAGCACCAGCAGAGGGCACCCGATCTCACTATAGATGGTTGTGAGCCACAATGTGGTTGCTGGGAGTTGAACTCAGAACCTCTAGAAGGGGAGCCAGTGCTCTTAACCTCTGAGCCATCTCTCCGGTCCCTGGTTTTATGTCTTTATAGTTTTGGTAATTTTACATCAGAAATGTGAATTTTGGGGTTGTTTCTATAGAATATCATTTGTTTTATATGTTTTTATTATTTTAAGTGTGTGTGTGTGTGTGTGTGTGTGTGTGTGTGTGTGTGTGTGTGTGCATGCACAGACGAGTGGTCAGTGTGATGACCAGGGTCATTGTGTTGAATTCCCTGGAACTGCTGTAAAGTTAGAGGAGTTTGTACGCTGTGTGACCTGGGTGTTGGGAATGGAGCTCGGGTCTTCTGCAAGAGCTGTGAGCCTGCTTAACTGCTCAGCCATCTCTCTCCAGACTCTTATGTTTTGTTTTTGCCAGAAGATCTTAAGTGATCGTATGAATATTGATACAGCCTTTAGTGTTTTACTTTAAAAAATAAAATGTCTCCGTGTGTGTAACACATATTTTCTTCTAATCAAAACTAAAATGCATCCAAGGAGTGTTAATGGACAAGTTTTATGCATAAAGATGTTCAGAAGATGACCTGTTGGTCCTAAAAGATGATAATGTAGTCATAAGAACAGTTGCTGTATTCATTCAGGGCAATTCTATGTGGTTACAAAATGTGTATGTTACAGAAATCTTGTCCCTGGAAAATGCTTACTACTGTTTTTCTCTGTCTTGTGTGCGGATGAAAGATGAATATTGTAGAAATAAATTCTCCAGGTAAGAAAAAAACCTGGCATACAAATGCTCAACTGTGTTGGCCATTTAAATCAAATGGCTCAAGGGCACTGATTACTACCATAGGAATAATTTTGTGTGCTCTCAGTGTCTGCTACCAAGCTCAAAGTTTATCTATAAATTGAGAAGGTTTTTTTTTTCCTTCCTGTTGTTGTTTTTAATTCAAGAAGAGTTCTGTGAAACAAATTAGTTGCAACCTCTGCAGGCAATTGAACACAATTAATTTCAATAATAAATTGGGCTAAAAGTCTTTCATTTCACCCCAAAGTCTATACTCATGGTCCCTTGGCATTGACTCTAATTTTGTGTAAAACCACATTTGCTCAAAGTTCCATTGCTCAGTTTTCTTCCCAGGGTGTAAGAAGGGTTTTTTTTTTTTCCAATGAGGTTATATAAAAAATGTGATAGCAACATCCCACAATACATGGCTTTGCATACATGCTTGTGTTTTTCGTTTTTTGTTTGGTGTGTGTGTGTGTGTGTGTGTGTGTGTGTGTGTGTGTGTGTGTGTG